GACATTTACACAATTTGTGCAAGTCTCAATGGAAAAATTGTAATAAATTACTAAGAAGTAAAGCTCCATTGAAGAAAAAGATAAGTAAACAATTACTGGGTACTGAAGCTCCAATGAAGGAAAAACTAATAAATTACTGAGAATTGAAGCTGCACATTTTTAGCAAGAGGAATCCAAACCTCTCAACAGATTTTCATTTTCCAAGTTTGCCCTCCTCCACCCCCTCCACCATCATTAACCAGCAGGATTGTACGCGTACCTACTAGTAAACCGTAACATTCTTTGGGGCAACAAAACACTTCCGTTCAAAATGGTTTTCTTACATCTAACAGACAACATTCGAAGTGAACAAACTAAACAAAATATTTTTCCTTAAAAGGAAATTTGGCGTTACCAAAAACATTGGTAAAAGAACAAGAAAATTTACAGAATGGCAACTAGTTTTGATCTCTGAATATACTATCTATAAAGATATAATGCATGATCATGCAAATTTCAGAAAGACTAAAACCCATCTCATTTTCAGTTACATTAGATTAACAATACTAATAATTTTTAAATTTATTGTATTGTATTGCGAGTAGACAGTTTGAAGGGGTTTTCATCGTGAATGAATCTTTAAGTGTGGACTGAGAGTGCTGCTGTCAGCTGGCTATCAGAAAACTCTTCGCCACTTGTCTGACAGTTGGAGGGTTTCTCTTCTGTGTGACTTCCCATATGTTGGCGGAGAAGGGAACTTTGAGTGAATCTTTTGCCACACGTCTCGCATCTGTGTGGCTTTTCATCAGTGTGGGTCCTTATATGTCTGCGGAGAGAGGCACTGAGGGAAAAACCTTTGCCACAAGTCTGGCAGGAGTGGTCTTTTTCACCCGTGTGAGTCTTCATGTGGTCATGGAGTGTTTGGCTGAGAGAGAAACTTTTGTCACAAGTCTGGCAGCTGTAAGGTTTTTCACCAGTGTGAGTTTTCAAGTGTCTGAGGAGATGGGTACTTTGAGAAAAACCTCTGCCACAAGTCTGACAGGTGTGCGGCTTGTCAGCATTGTGTGTCTTCATGTGTTTGCGGAAAGAGCCACTTTCAGAGAAATCTTTGCCACAAGTCTGGCAGCTGTGCAGCTTTTCACCAGTGTGAATCCTCATGTGAATACGGAGATGGCTACGTTGCGAGAAATCTTTGCCACAAGTCTGGCAGCTGTGCGGTTTTTCACCAGCGTGAATCCTCAAGTGGTCACGGAGTGTGCTGCTGTGAGAGAATTTTTTGCCGCAAGTCTGGCAGCCGTAGGGTTTTTCGCCAGTGTGAGTCCTCAAGTGTGTACGGAGATGGACACTTCGACTGAATCCTCTGCCACACGTCTTGCAGCTGAACGGCTTTTCGCCAGTGTGAATTCTCATGTGTATACGGAGATGCCCACCTTGAGTGAACTTATTTCCACAAGTCTTGCAGCTGAACGGCTTTTCACCAGTGTGAGTCCTCATGTGTCTACGGAGATGAGCTGCTTGAGAGTAAGCTTTGCCGCATGTCGGGCAGCTGTACGGTTTTTCACCAGTGTGAGTCTTCAAGTGTACGTCGAGTGTGGTGCTGTGAGAGAACGCTTTGCCACAAGTCTGACAGCAGTAGGGTTTTTCACCAGTGTGAGTCCTCAAGTGTATGCGGAGATGACTGCTTTCCGAGAAACCTTTTCCACAAGTCTGGCAGGTGTACGGCTTTTCACCAGTGTGAGTCCGCATATGCACGCGGATAGAGCTAATATCTGCGAAACTTTTGCCACAGGTCTTGCAGCTGTGCGGCTTTTCACCCGTGTGAGTCCTCATGTGTCTTCGGAGTGGGCTACTTTCAGTGAATCCTTTGCCACACGTCTTGCAGCTGAAGGGCTTTTCACCAGTGTGCGTTCTCATGTGTACATGGAGATGGACACTTCGATTGAATCCTGCACCACACGTCTTGCAGCTGTACGGCTTCTCACCAGTGTGAGTCATCATGTGTCTGCCGAGAGAGCTCCTATCGAAGAAACTTTTGCCACAAGTCTGGCAGCTGTGTGGCTTTGGCTTTTCGCTGCCAGTGTGAGTCCTCATGTGTCTGCGGAGAGAGCTGCTATCAGAGAGACCTTTGCCACACGTACTGCAGATGCAGAGTTTACCATCAGCGTGTGTCCCAATAGTCTTCTTGAGGACACTCTCAGTGGAGGAGCGCTCAATCTCACTCGTAGCGGCAGGTCTTTCACCAGCGTGAGTCCGCTGGTGAGCTTGGAGAAGGGCCGCCCTCCTGAAGGCCGCCCCGCACGTAGCACAGCGATGAGGCCTCCCCCCGCTGCGGCCGGCCCCACCGGCGGCCTCCTGCCCGCCGTGGTCCTCTGCATCCTGCGCTGGCTTTCCTCGTGCCATCACGTCCTCGGCACCGGAGCTGTCACGCCCTTTGGCCTGCTCAACAGCACTGGGATCGTCACACTCGTCGGGGTTCCCAGCCTCGGGGTCTTCACACTCTTTGGGGTCCTCAGCAGCATCGGGCCCGCCACACTCGTCGGCGACCTTGACACCGGGGCTGTCGTACCTGTCGGCGTCCTCTGCAGCACCGGGGTCGTCACACTCGTCGGCGTCCTCGGCAGCGCCGGGGCCGTGACACCTGTCGGCGTCCTCGTGCCGAGGGTTGACGCAGGCGCGCCGCCGTCTGGTCTGCTCCGCCGAACACCTGCCACTGCGGTGGTGCCGCTCCAGGAGCAGGGCGCTGACGAAGCAGAGCGCGCAGCGATCGCAGGGGAAGGCGCCGGCTGTGGGAAAGGAGAGCGTGCAAGGGTAAGTGCTCAACGTCAACTAATTCGGTCGATTCCAGGAAGCTTCGTGTCGAGTCCAGGAAGCCTATGCGTCGTGGATCGTCCTGAAAGTACGTCTGATTTTCTCATTAATCATTCGTCAGATTGGTGGAGGTCAGCGCCTGCGAGAATCGGGGTAGGCCATCCCGCAGTACACGCGTGCACTGGAGACAAGATATGGCCTACCCGACAGGCGCTATGAGAGCTTGCAGGCAGGGGCTGCCTCCGTGTTCGTTACAGAGAATGACGGAAGTACTTTCTGGATGATTCCTTGTCAGCAAGCTGCTGCCTGTCCATCTCAGACGCTCCGCGTGCCCTAAGCCCTTGCTCGGTACAAAGCTTGAGCTGCAAAATTGTATGGTGGCAAAGCCGCAATAATGTATAAGCTCAAAGTCGACTTGCGCATTATATTCTGGGTAACCCAGGCGATGTCGGAGGCAGACAACCGACTGACTTTGTAACAAATATCGTTCTTCAACTGTCCATATTGTTTCGCACGAATTGATGCCACGTATTTTATTTATGTTTTACTCACTCGGGGCTCGCTTGTGCAGTGCGGGGTCCTGGCCGGCCTTTGGGTCGAGGCGTACGACTCGCCGGCGACCTGCGACCTGCGAAGGGAAGCATACAACACATGACTCTCAGGCTCGACCTATACCCCCCCCCCCCCCACAAACAAAAGCTGTTACTCTACCTTGATGACGGGTGGTTTCCGCTCTTCTTCACGTCGATGTGGCCCCTTTTCAGCCTCACACTTTTTCACCTTTCCTCGCGGCAACTCTTCTTTCCGTCGATGTGGCCCCTTTTCAGCCTCACACCCTTTTTCCTTTCTGCGCCGCAGCTCTCGTCGATGAGGCCCCTCTTCAGACTCACACTTGTTCTCATTTCCCGGCGGCAGCTCTTCTTCTCGTCGATGTGGTCCCTCTTCAGCCTCACACTTTTTCTCATTTCCCCGCGGCAGCTCTTCTTCTCCTCGCCGTGTCCCCGCTTCAGCCTTGCACTTTCCCTGCGGCAGCTCTTCGTCTTGTTGATGAGGCCCCTCTTCAGCCTCACACTTTTTCTCATTTCCCCGCAGCAGCTCTTTTTCTTCGCGCCATGGCCCCTCTTCAGCCTCACACTTTTTCTCATTTCCCCGCGGCAGCTCTTCTTCTCCTCGCCGAGTCCCCGCTCCAGCCTTGCACTTTCCCTGCGG